GCCAAGTCGCCAGATCAGGATCAGTTATATTGCTAAATTCTTCTTTGGATTAGCAAGAAATCAATCAAATGAGTTTTATTTATTAAATTCAACTTGCAAGGCTTGTTAATTTTTAACTATATTTTCCAGTTTGCATATAAGTTGTAACATATCTGGGGAATAGTTCATGTTCCGTTTGAATACTTTTAACTATCTGTAGGTACATTAATGTTGTCAGTGATGTAGGGAAAAACATTCTTCTAAGATTTTTAGGAATGCTACATTTCAAATTTAAAAGCATATTACACATGTGTAGAATGGTTAAAAAAATAAAATTCTGCTAGGAGCTGCAGAACATGACAGCATTAAAGAATGAAGACATTAAACATTAAACACATTTTAAAATATTGTCCTCTGTAATGAAATACATTGTATTTAATATAGGTTGTTTCTTTGGTATAATGTAGTAAGTTGATATACAAGAGAGTGTGGTGGTTGTGTGACCAATGCAAAAATTTAATGTTTTGATTATTAGTGTTAGAGCTGCAATCTTCTTTTTTTTTTCTTTTTTTTTTTTAAACATTACGCCCCGAGCAAGGCGTGAAGCCACTAGGATGCAGAAGATTTGGAGTGAGAGCAGATAGGAGTGATAGAAGAAAGGATGAGGAGAGGGATAGTGGATAGATCAAGGTAACTGGAGATGTCGGTTGACATTACATTTGAATAGTTGGAGATTATAGCTCTCAGAGAAACAGTAATTGGGAAGGGTGTTCCACAGGCGAGAGGTGCGAGGTATGAAGCTATTTGAGTAGAAGAGACGGCTACATTTAAAAGTTTCTACAGTGTAAGGGTAGGAGCTGGATGCCAGCCTCGTAGGGTGCTTGAATTCATGGAGTCTGGGAACCAGTGAAAGCAGCTCATCAGAGCAATTACCATGAAAGTATTTGTAGAAAAGACAGAGAGAGGTGATGGCGCGTCTGTGAGAGAGTGACTGTAGACGAGATGCCAGATCAGGGCCAATTATATTACACATCCGTCTCTGGATCTTGTCAAGAACTCTGAGGTAAACAGAAGGTGCCCCAGACCATATATGGCAGCAATACTCCATGCAAGGGTGAATGGTTGATTTGTATATTTGAAGTATCGATTTCGGGGAGAAAAATTAAAAGACATGAGAATTCATTAAATTTTTTTTGTTTTTATTTTGATAGGGCAATTTTTGAGGTCCCTGAGCTATTTGTTAGATATTGTGATACATACCAATTGCTTATATTTGTAATTACTTTTTTTTTTACTCTTGTTTATATCAGGGTGGTTGTTTTTGTTTTAATTTTAATTGCTCATTGGTGATGTGATTAGGGAAACTATTTTTAAGAAGTGTTTAATTTATGTTGCTCAATTCTTTATAAAATAATTTGTGAAGAAGAAACTAGCTTAGGTCAGTCATTCATATTATTTCATAAACAAATATTTCATATCTGTGAGGAGATTAATTTTGATAATTAAAATGGCAAGAATTCTTGCTTGCAGGTTTTTATAGACTGATATAGTAAGTGTGATTATTCACATCTAAAATATCAAGAAAATGAATTTTATAAGTAAAGCATAAAGCAGAGCTTTTCTCAGTGTTTTTTTTTTCTCTAAATTTATCAATAAGATTTTGTTCTCTATGTAAGTCATCGAGATGAAGTGGGGCCAAGAGGTGATCTCATAGTTAAAATGTCAGTCTATTTGTAAATGTTACCATGATGATCATACCTGTGTCATGCATGATGGAAATTTTTGTACAATTGTTGGTTTAAGGGGGAAGCAACAAATGCTTACATACATTTTGTATTACTATATTGCTAGTTCCTTAGAAAGGGACATTGGTAAAGAGATTTTTACTATTTAACAAGGCAAGGGTGTCATTATTGGGTTTATTTGATTTTAGTATTTGAAGAAATTTATGTGGAATTAATACTATATTTATTTAATAAGTGTGGTAAGATGAGCTGGTTTAAAGTTTTGGATAAGTGGTCTACAGGAATAAATTTGTGAAATTATGCTATGTAGAGCTGAACCAGGTTCATGTTTTTTATATTTCCATACAGGTAACAAGGATAATAATCACACAAAGTTTTGTGGAGTTTGATATGATTTTAGCATTGTTGTCTGTAATAAGTTTATTTATCTGTACCTTGAGGAGGCTAGTTGTGTTTTTGGTTTTTAAAATTAGTCTGGTTGTTGACAATAATTTACAATGATTTTTGCACTGTAACAGATTGTTTAAAATAACAAAAATGTTACATTTATCACTTTTCTGAATGACAATGCTTTGTTATTTCCAAGTTCAATATAAATTTTCCTTAGTACTTTAGTTAAGAGTGGGGTTCATTTCAGGTAGTTGTGTCTATTTTTTTAATACTTTTGTCTTTAAGCAAGGTTTGTAATCCAGGGTGAGTTATAAAGGTATTTATAGGTCTTGCAGTTGTAAGATATTTTTTTAATAGAAATGTATTTTCTGCATTTTTTATGTTGCTACCAAGATTGGATTACAGTTGGAAATTCAGTCTGGGTTAAAAATTCTTTTTGCTGTTTGGTAAAATTGGTAGTTGGGAATATTAATAAAGTTATTGGCAAAATTTAAAAAATATAGTTTTCCTTGGTAAGGAGTTTTTTTTTTTGTTTTTTTTTGTACAGTTCTGTTAATTTGTAGGTAAGGTATTCCTTTCTTTTCCTGTGATTGCAGAAAGATTTCTTGAATTTCAGTGTAGTTGTTAGAAAATGTATATTACACAACTTAAAAATTATCAAATCTGGTGGCGTTAAAAAAACAAAAAAAAAAAAAAAAAAAAACGGAATCGTGGAAAATTTTTAGGTGTGTTTCTGCTATAACGGATACAATTTTTTCTTTTATGATGTCGCACGTGGTGACATGACAATCATGACATCATTTTTGTTGCCATTCGTCGTTGCGTCACACCTCATATAGTAGACAATGTTTTGGAATTTTAAATTAAAATGTTGTTAAGTTTAATTTATTTGCCGTGTTAATTTGTCACCAAATTAATATTTCAAACGTTCCTATGGCATGGTAATCTCTTCTGAAAGGGGTATGTTAAAAAAATAACGTCTTTAAACTGAACAACATGGCGGCATTTATTCTTGAATGACAAGTGTTCTTATTTGGTAATTTCTCATTGATTTGTGACTATGATGGGTTATTTTTAGGATTTCATTGAAATAGACGCGTTGCCTCTTTAAGAACGAAATCTTTTTCTTTCTTTAAATTGAAGAGTGCTGCTCTAATAATATCGCGTAGTAGCAGAAATAGTAGTGTGAAATATTTTTGTGCTAGTAATTTGGGGAAACTCCACATCGTATTATTGTAGTTGTAAAGAAAAATAATCAAAGCGTTTTTTAAAATAGAAAAAAAAGGTAATACAGGAAAATGAAATCACGAATAACAGATTCATTGCTTTGCTTTCATCGTGAAAAAAAAAGAGAAGTAAGCGGATAGTCAGAATCAGTTTGAGAGTAGACACTAATAAAAAGGTTGGCCTATGCGGTGGCAAGCAGCAAGTGGAACTTTTGCACGTGATGGTGTATTCACGTGATCCGCCGATCACGTGGCCACTGCAAAGGAAAGGAACGAGATCTGTCACTGTCGTCGTCAGAAAGAGAGGATGTTGTATTATTAACCAGTGCTTGAAAAGAAGAATTTGCACTTATAGTAACAATATTACTGCACGCACACTGATTATAAACCTTCTAAGTTGAAATAAATGCGTCATTAGATATTTTCCCTGTTACTCTTTTTAGTCTTTTTCTAGAAATAAGAAAAATGTTGTTATGCGTCTTTTTTTTGTTTGAGTTTGGTCGTGTTGAGTGATACTGAGACTTGAAAAACAGACAAAAAAAATTATAAACTTAAAAAAAAAAAAAAAAAAAGATTTATAAATGAATAATTTACCACCACTCAGATACGTTTTTGAACAGGCCCAATAAATAAAACTATTAATTAAGTACTACTTGGATCTGTCATCGACTTTTCAAAACAAGATGAATTAATTGTCTGTCTGTTCTCCTTTCCGAAAATAACGGAATAAAAATTGTTATTGTATTGTTTTGACGTTTGCTGTGAATAACACGGAAAAATAAACATTTAATAAAAATACAGGTAATTTGAAAATTAAATTATCATACGTAATTTGATAACTATTGAATAAATAAAATTAAAAAATAATTCATAAGTACTTAAAGACGTGAAACTAAAAAGTAAAAACAGATTTTTTTTATAAATCAAACAAAACAAATAAGTCAAATATTGATAGATAACAGAACTTTATTTAATTCTAAAATAAAAAAATGTTATTGTTAAAATTAAATACTCGTGTTTGAAAAAACAAACAACAAAACAAAAAAAAAATGTTGAATCGCTAATTGCAATTGCATACAATAATGAACCAGATTATTCATCTATATTCCTATTCTGATTTTAGTGTTTTTAAAATAACTACATTACAACCTTAGTTATTTTAATACTTGTGGCGCAAGTATTTATTAATGGAGTAAAAGCGGGGGAGTAGAAAAAGAAAGACCGAATGGGGGAGGAAGAAAGAAAAGATAAAAAGCATAAAATTAAGTCAATTGCTGATGGGTGTGAGAAGAAATAAATAAATATCGTACTGTCAGGTCTCCAAGTCATAATTCACAGAAATAGCCTATCATCACACACGCACATAACATACTAAAAATTATTATCCCTTCTCCGACTTTTTTCATTTTGGTCAAACACTCATCACTGCAAATATGAGTCTTTTTTCCTACCTTTTTTCGACATTTTCATGTAATTTAAACTCACAAACGAACTAATATCGAGATTTTATAAAGTGAGAAAAGAAAAGAAAATCAATTCTGTCATGTGCGAAGTAAAACTAAAAGTAAAACTAAAAAAGAAAAAAAAAAGCTAAGTGAAAAGTTAAAGAGGATTTTTCACCGCACTAACAAGTAACCTATTTTTTCTTTCTCGTTTTAAAATGTCTTTCCTTCTTAATCACTTCAAGATTCATATTTTCGTTAGTTAGTAGAAATCATTTTTTTTTCACATTTTTTAATTACTTTTTCTTTTCTCTTTCATAAAAAACAACAAAAAAACAAAGTATTATTTAATTTGGTCTCCAATTTCTTTTTTAAAGTCCGTACATTAACAACAACATTTTATGCACGTAATTATTTTGCACTTCTCGTATTAAACGGAGCGGAGAGATATATCGAGAAAAAGGAAAAGACCGAAATGATGAGAGAGAGAGAGAGAGATAGCGGTCTTTCTTGATCTTGTTTTTGTGTGGTATACCTTCTCGCTTGGTTCAAGTCTCCGTTAGAAAATTAAGATTAAGAAGCAGCAACAGCATGCTTAGTTTTATCACCCCTTCTATGTTACATCAACAACATCAATACCACCACCACTGCCATCACAGTGGTAATGGTAATAATCACTAAGCCTTCGTGAACTGTAACAAAGTCGAATACTGTGGTGGCAGGTGCGCACATTGCAGGGCCGAGGAGTGGCTTTCTTTCTACTTCTCTGGGAGCGCGCTTTTTCAATGCACATGCACTTATAAAAGACAATGTTTATGGATTTTCAAAGATTCAACTATCACAAGGTAGGTCTTCAGTTCTTTTTAAAATATTCGTTTTTATTATAATATAAAAAAAATAAAATAAGGAGGAAACTGTCGCAGTGAAAAAGAAAGCAATTTTACTTTTTTTTTTTAAACTTTATTTTCGTTTCCTCGTGATTGTTAACTTTTTCGTGTGTACTCATACTAATGTGTATTGGTGTGATTAGTCTCTTTGATGAGTAAAGAAAGACTTCTAAAACTTGGGCTCCAAGCAACATGCATGGTGCGAATGTACGGGTTTTCTTTTTTCTTAGGCACGAAGTTCTTTTTGTTTTCGCTGCATTTTCCAACATAAATATGGCATCAAATGCGTATAAAAAAAAAAAATCAAAGAAAAAAAAAAGGTGTTTCTTTCTGTTTTCAGTCGGTCGTCTGTACTTTCATTTTAAAGAAAGATTTATTTTTACTTGGAGAAACCTACGTGTATAATTTGCTCACGTAGGTTTATTTATTTATTTTAGAAGTGTGATATGGACTAACTCAGTAACTCTGTTGCACATCACTTGTCTCTCCTATCCAAGATGTCTGTTGTTATTTAATTATTATTATTTTTTTAATTCTGTATCTTTTATCATAATTTTAGGTTGAACTGCCTTTCACAACCAGTTCAAATCTAGACTGGAAAAGTGATATCACAATTTTATTTGTAGGAAGAAAATAAAGAAAAAGAAAATAGCGTACCATTTTGAAATAAAACCACTTCATGTGTTTTTACGGTTCAGTTTTGTCATAACAAGCTGAAGTATATCCCGAAACTTTTTAGAATAGATTCTCTTGAGGTGAGGTCCCCCCCTATTTGTTATGCTTAGTGACATATTATTACGTACACTGTTCTAAAATTATTATTATTTTTTAAGTCAAACCAAATGTGAGTATTGCATTGCACGTTACAGAAAAAAACAAAACAAATTGATCGTTTTTATTTTTGTTTTTTGTTATTTTTTCCCGTGGGCAACAGTTTTGTTTGACTTTGATCCACAGCAACAATAATGGCACCAGGTGTATTGTAAGTTATACCTGGAAACCAAGCAAATCTTTTTTTGAGTATTTTTCAGACGTAAAAATCCGTTACTCGCATGAATAAACTTACTTTAAAAAAAAGGTAAGGCATAATGCGCGCAAGTTATTTTTTTATTTTATGGGTAGTTTAAGAATCGTGTCACCAGAGACACAAATTTTCTGTAAAAATTCAGTCTTGCCTGCAGGGTTTTCATTTTCACGGCCATATAGATAGGTTTTTTTTGTTTTTTTTACCTTAATTAAATACTTGGCATATCATATCGTGGAAAACGCCTTTTAAATCTAACAGCATTTTTTTTTAATAAAAAAAAATGTAAATGAAAACAAAACACTTCCCAAATTAAAATATTTGAAATTAGAAACGAAAAAAAAGTAAGCGAAAAACGTTTCTAAAAACAAATTTCTGTCAATGTTTTTAAAATTAGTTGATGAAAAACACTAAATAGACACTGCTGTTAGTTTATTAGTTGAGTACAAGATTTGGTAAAAAAATGCAAAATAATTGTATGTTTTAAGAAAATCGGTTAATGAGTTTTTGTTTTCTCGTCGCTGCTTTTTGAAAAAACAACATTTCCATGAGATGATCGACCTCCATTCAAGTTTTTAATTTTTTTATTAAAGAAAAAAAAGAAAAGAGAAAGCTTTTTGAATTTTGTTTTGAATAATAAAAAAAAAATGAAATGATCGTATCCACCCCCTTTTCTTAATTAATCGATCATGACATGACGAGATGACTTGCTATCGATTTAACTCATCAGATATATTTTCCAAGGGTGCTAAAATGAATTTAACTCACGAAGTAATTTACATGTTTGATGCATCTTAAAAAAAAAAAAAATACTAACAGTTGTGGACAGTACGAATTGACTTAATGATTAATGCCAGAAATATTGACAAGAAAATTGTAGTTGAAAGAACTAAAAAAAAAAAAAAAAAAAAAATTTTTTTTTTTTTGAGTCCGTTAGAGTGTTGAACAAAAAAAAAAATTATTTTTAGTTTAAAATTCATTATTTTCTTTTTAGGATTTGCTTAAAATGACAATTTCTGGATATATCGATCAGCGTTGGTGCATTATCGATTAATTTTGTTTTGATTATTGGCATTATTTAAAAAATAAAAAAGAAGCATAATTTATGCGCAATCTGACTAAAAATAAAATAAAAATACTGGGAAAAAAGGGAAAAACTCTTGTTAGATGATTGTAGTTAACTAAAATTTAAAATGTTGTTATTCAGTGTACAGTGTACTATAGTTGCTTGTAGCTACTGAACCGATACAACCAAATGTTGGTCTTTGAAAGAGAAACACTTATGACTATAAAAAACACGTGACCTGATTCAGCTTTCCATTTTTAATTGACATTTTTAAGCACTACTTAAATAAACTGGTCCACTTGTTAAAAAAAAAAATATAGGGAATATTTTAGGGGAGGTGAGGAGTGAGGATAAGTTTTGCCCACTAGCATTATTTTTAGACCTTCCTTAGGCAGCAGCACTTGTCAGGTTCGAAAAATATTGATTTGTTATTGATTTAGAAGGGGGTGTTCTGTTCATAATATTGATACAGTGTCAAATCAATCCCTGACTTTTACTGAGTTATTGGACTTAGTTATTTTGCATACAAAGACAGACTTTTGGTTCGCTGGTGGGGTGGGGAGTTTAAAATATTTCTTTTAAATAATAAATAAAGAACAAATGGATATAACAAAAGATTTGCATCTGTATATGTTTATTCTTCGTTTAAGATAAATATTATTAACCTAAAATGTTTGTGCATGTGCTTCCAAAAAAAAAAAAAATGCCACACAGGAAAACTTTTTAAGAATTTTCAAAAGAAAAAGTTAAAAGGAAGGCTTAAAAATTCAAAAAGTTAAAAATAAATATGCAAATATCTATGATGTAACCACAGTTTGAAATTTGACATTTGTAAATAACAAATAAGTGCAATAACTATGTAAAAGTCTGGGATTGATTTTACAGTACACCAATATTATGAACAGCCCACATTCTAAAATGATATATATTTATCTTAATTCTGACTAACAAATGTTGCCACCTAAGAAAATTCTAAAGAATGCTAATGTACAGAAATTAAAAAAGAAAATAATTTCTATTTTCTTAATGAGTTAACCAGTCTATTTAAGCGGTGTCAACATTTCAATAGTTTTTGTCAAAACTTTGAAAATGAGTCTTGGTGAAGATTTTATATTTATGATGGAAAAGTTTTAGCTTCTATTTGTCTTTTGTGTATATCATCTGAATTGTGAATTAACTAATATATATATATATATATATATATATATATATATATATATATATATATATATATATATATATATATATATTTAATGGAGAGATTGTTAAATAACTGATGGACAATATATAAGAAAGAAGCAAAAAAAGATAGGAACAAAATCACCCACAAAAAGAATAAAAACAAAAACGTTATGTAACCAAGTTTTGTTAATTGCAAGAGACAATTTATATGTATTTTGCATTTTTTAAATAAGTTCTTTATTTTATTTATTTGTTGGTGGATTATTTTTTGTGTCCTTAAGGTTCCAGGTTTTTGACAGGCTTCAGTTATTATCAAGAAAGAAATTAGATGAGATTCAACGTCTGTGTGGCATACTTTCTAATTTTTCTTTCTTTCTAGAGGTAGGATGTGACATGGACAGTTTCATGCAATATGCATCCAAATGTAAAAATTGCCAAGTCCTTGAGATTACTGTCATGCAGATATCAAAATACTCAGACTTTCTCTTTGGTGCTACGGGGAATGTATTGGAGTATCCAGGTTGAGGATTCCCCTCATTGTTTTGTTGTATGGCACCGACATTCCACACCATAGTACAGGAACGTGGCAGAGAAATTGGAATAGGTTCTACATTTTGATCCTAGTCAGAAAACTGGGGAATGTGTACTCTGATTTTTGTATTAATCTTGGGCTTAGAAGTAAGTAAAAAACCATCCAGATATATATGACCAATACTGTTCTAGTATATAATCATGATGAATATTATATAATAATAACTTTAGATAATAGTTTTTTTTTTGACTGAGAAGTAACCTATATCTATAGCTTTTGAAACATTTGCAAAAAAAAAAAAAATAAATAAATAAAAAAAATAAAATAAATAAATAAAAAAAAAAAAAAAAAAAAAAAAAAATAAAAAAAATAAATAAAAAAAAAAAAAAAAAAAAAAAAAATAAAAAAAAAAAAAAAAAAAAAAAAAAAAAAAAAATAAATAAAAAAAAAAAAAAATAAAAAAAAAAATAAAATAATAAATTGGTGATTTTATTACAAGCAGGATCTTTTGACAAAACATCTGAAAAGACTTTGTCATTAAAAAATGCACAATGCTGCAGCTGCAGAAAGGGAAACAAGCAGCAACAGAAAGAACTGAACTACATATCCATAAATTCAGGACATCTCAGAAAAACAAGGAAAATTTTGAAGACTAATATAAGTATAATATAAATATGATGAAAGGAATAAATATACGGGCAATATCCATAATATTCATAAACTCGACAAGAAGAAAAATGAGAATTGTAGAATAAAGAATGATGAAAGCCTCGGAGATGATGTTGATAGTCTGTGAAAAGAACAGGAAGAGAAAGAGAGCTTGTTATCAGCAAGGATTGTGTTGATTCTGTTAATTCCATAAGAAACAAGATTTTGGTTATAACAGTCAGAAGTTGCAGTAGAATAAACACGGAGCCAGGAAACTTCAAAGCAAGAATAGAAAGAAAACAACTACAGGGACAGTTCAAGAGTCAAGCAAAATTAATTATAGATGAAATGACAGGGAGATAATTGTGAAGAGGACATTTGAAAAGAGAAATCTCATCCTTATTAATGATTGCATAAAACAAAGTATATTAAAGCAAATATGGGAAGAAAATAGCAAATGTTGAAATAAATGTAATAAAATATTTTTTATTTACATTGTTTGGACT